TAAAAAGGAATCCATAATTTTGCCAACCACTTGAGGATCTCCAGTTTGCTGAAGTTGACATCCAATAACCTGGTAGAAGTGCAGCTAAAAATGATTGATCCATTCCAGAGTTTAGGGCTTGACTGCAGAAAACTCCTCAGAATTCCTTGAAGCTGATGGGGGAAATTTTGTACTGTTGGAAGATTGGGTTCAAAACTAAGAGATCTGGGGCTCCCTCTACCAAAATTGTCTGTTGGCCATAGGTGTTTCAGTCCCCCCTCACTCACCAGCCATTTCAGCTTCAAGGAGAACAAGGAGCTAAAGAAAAACACTGTCCAAATCACTGGGCAGATGATGAGGCCAAGCCAAAAGATTCGAGCTTCAGCTTCGGTCGAGGCAGCTATTGTAGGCACCTGAGAGGGAAAATGTTGAAACCACCAGTCACAAAGTCAAAATCCATAGTAAATGACAAATGAACCGAGGAGGAAGGTTTCACTTATTATATGCATAGAAGGAAGATTAAGAAAAGAAGCAGCTAATGCCAAGTTTTCTGCCTGATGCCCTACTGTACATGAGAGCATTTCCCCCCATAGGATTTACCACTGGATTCCAGTTCAGATGAAGGAATTCTAACAGAGTTCCACACCTGGAGCTGCAGAGGGCACTGCACACCACGCACAGCACGAGGGGGATGACCCAGGGAGCAGCACTTGAGTGCTGTTCTGTCAGGCCTGTGCCCTAATGAAGCTGCAGAGAGAATGCAGCAAGTGAAACCCAAAAGCTGAGTCTTGCTGAGTGATGCCAAATGCCTTTTTATAGCTCTTCTGCTCGGGGTGTTTGAGGCAGCACTGGCAGTATCAGAATGCTCTGTGATCCAGGTTTTATTGCCCACCATGTTCCATGAGCATGAATGAAATGCTCATTTTAAAATACTGAGTCTGAACTATTCAGCATTGCTTTTCACATAGATCTTTCCTGAAGAGGATTCTGTGTTGGGATTACCTCTGGGAAAATGTTTTTATTAGAAGATACTCTCACTAGAAGATACAATAGAACTACCAGGAATGCTTCATACCTTTGGCACCATGCTAGGAATATTTATTCTGCTGAGGCACTTGGTGACAATGCTGTGAGACCAGTTTTGTTCTGATTGCTTCCAGGATGTGAAAACCAGTGTGCTCACACCTCAATACTTACATTGTCTTCTACAGAAGCTGGATAAGAAGTAACTGTTTCAAAGGTGTTACTTTCTTTGTTACTTTATTTGCCTTAGAATCAGCTTTACAAATTTCCTATGGATTCTGTTTGCCCTGTGCCTACTTCCATTAACATATTTACCCTTTTTGCTTCAAACACCCAATGGCTTTTTCCATCTTCATCAATCTGGTTCCACCAACGCAAACCGACCAAGAGTCTTCCTGTCACGTTCTAGTGATGAAACCATTATTTGCATTGATCAGTGGCACAATTCACTTGTCAGAGGAACAGTAAAAAGGAAAGACAAGCACGTTCAAAATTCATCTTCCTTTATCAGATACTAAAATTATCCCTAAAGGCTGTGCCAGCTTGAGCTGAGCCAGCCATTAACAATGGTTGAAGTTACAAATTTAGAGCCCTGTTCTCTTTTCATATGGTAATTAGCCTAATAATAACACTTATTTAGACAACAAATTATAGATTGTATCTTTTTCAAATCAGTTAGTTGGAGAAGCACCCACTAAAACAAATTTCCTCAGTGAAAGAAGAGCACTGAGAACAAAAACACTGGAAATTGGGAGATTAATGATGAGCAAGTAAACTGTGGGATCAAGTAAACAAACTTAAGAAAATATTTCTGCACCTGGATGAACATTAGAAGCTTTCAGAACACTGGATATGCCATCCACTGCTGAAAGCCACTGTTGCCTTAATTTGTATATATATTTTTAAGGGGGAAATCATACAAATTTTCCTAGGGCAAAGCAATTTTCCCACCATATTAATAACTCACATAAGCCATGGAGAATATGATGACAAACACCTTAATTAAAATGGGCAAGATCTAATAAATCAACAGATCGCAATGTTCTTGTCACTTTTGTCAGTACACCTATTTTTTTTTCATTTATTTAATGGCAAACAAAATACATTCAAAGGTAATTATTACTCAGGGTCATCTTACCTTGACTGACCAAAAGTCAAAGGATAGAAGGAGGAGAATAGTGACAAAACAGGCAACAAAGCTGTTGCTGAACCAGTCACAGAACAAGTAGGTGACAATAGCACTCACTCGGAAAAACAGGTGGAAAAAGGTGGCCAGGGGGTGCCTAGAGGAGAAAACACAGAGCACAGAGGAAGTTATGGGACCAGAAGGGATGTCACAGTACTTGCTGACAATGTAGTACAACACAATCATTTCTGGTTTTACAGTGGTGTTTTGGGGTGTAGCTGCTGTTGGTTCACGTTGATGTGTATCTTCATTAACAAAGCAATAGTATTTTAAAGAGCTAATCTAAAGCTAAGATGAATGTGATGTTCATGCTGAAACTTAACAAAATCTGAAGTCTTTCACCAGTTTCTTTGCTACTAAATGAGGGAATTTAGTGGTTGTGTTCAACATAGTGCCCTAAAATGCTGATTGTTTCATGAAATAAATCAGCACTGCAAAGCACAAAAGAATTGAGACAGCTCATATGCCTTTCAGAACTGTTCTGAAAACAAAACAGGAACTCTGAGACTAAAAGAAAATGTAGCTGTTTGGTGCAAGACAAAATGAACCTTCAAATTTAATGTCCAAACCCAAACACTTCCTTTTAGAAAGGGAGAACGACTTGGGAATCTAACAGCTCTTATGAATGACTAGGGATTTTCACTAGATATTTATGCTTTGCCCAACATTTTTGAACAAAGTTTTGTCTGTAAGAAAATGAAGAGGAATTTCAGTGAAAGAAGCAACTCTGTGACATGGAATATTGGCCTGTCCAAAGGACTGGGGGGTTGGAGAATGCTGCAGTGAGCACAGTACAACTTTCAGGGTAATATGCCACGTGCAAAAACTTACTTTGTACAGCTGTGTTGGTGTTAATGAGCTGAAAGTGAATCAACACAAGAACTAACTAGAGGCTATTGCATTTAAGTAACTTCTCCCTTGAAGCTGAGTGAGTAAAACTTCTCTTCTGCATATTTTTTATTTATGCCAGTGATTGTCTCATTAAGTTCCTCTACCTCTGTGAACAATTAACAGGATTATGGCCTAGGCCATAATTAACTATTCAATTATTGAGTGTTATTCTATTATTGAGTATAACAAAATGAGACCTATAATATATACAAAATTACAGTTATTATAAAGTACAGGTATATAATAACCACTATAATTTAATATCCTTATTGTGATGTTATTCTATCCCTGTTTAACTGCTCCAGTCTGGTCTATAATGGCAATACTGTGCTCATAGTACTATGAGCATGACTGCAGAGGTAAGAATGATGCACAGCTGTAGTTTATATTTACTCCTGAACATGCCCATGCTAACCTCAAACTTTCCAAAAAATTGTTAGAGCCAAACATGTGACATTTTAAGCGAAAGGGACTTTTTATCTGCCAGAAGCAGAAGGGTGGGTGGAAAGGAGTAGATACTGTGAACTGTCACAGACATTTGCTGCTGCAAGCCTTGGTCTTGCTCTAGATGATGTAAGAGTTCATTCCAGAAGTGGTACCTTGTGTCAGGATTCCTAGATCACAACCCCAAAGCACAGCGTGGTGCACTGAGCTGTTAGAACTCTGTCACTGCTTCAAGTGTGAAAGGAACCTTGGAGAAGTATTGTTTCATTTTGGAAGGCAGATCCAGCAGGATTGCTGGATTCCAACAGGATTACTGTTTGGATGCTGAATCTGCTGCAGTGTCAAACTTTGGAGGGTGTTTACTAAACCCAGTACATGAGCATCTCATTTATTACAGTGCTAAACATTATTGAGCCCATAGAATGTCAGTCCTCGCCCCAGGATGTGCTCACCAAGCCACAGACAGACTTGCAGCTTCTTGTCCTAGGGGAGGAATATAGAAATGTGGCAAAAT